CCATGGAGGAGAAAGTTCATCATGGAAGAGAAAGTTCACCATGGTGAGTCAACCAGAGGTGACAATTTTCTGTGTCTTGCATAGTTGTGGGGAGTTTGGATATAAGTAGCCAAGCTTTCTTCCAGCAGAACATCCCAAAGCACCAAGGACCTGTGGTTGGGTGCATCTGCTTGGAGTATGAAAGCAGAGCAGCCATCCTCAGAAGATGTCTCCACCAGTTCACAACGTTTCAGATGGCAGCTCTGCTACTTGCATGAGGCAAAGAAAAGGGAGAAAAGCTACAAAGACAAAAGTTCTCCTAACACTAAATGTGTGTGCTATTTGCCACACACAGACACGCTGCTATGGCTGATCCTGGTTGTCTCTGCTTCAGGCAGGGTAAGGAATCAACCGTTTTTAGTGTTTTAGTAAAATCTGGTTTCCTCTGCAGCTTTCATTAGGACTGTGAAACGTCAATATTAAGAATTGTGAATTCCTACTGACCTAGAAGTGATGTAAAATATAATTGTATAAGGATGTTAGCTTTACCGTGCTTAATACAAGCACGGGTGCTTCTGGTTGTTAATTATGATTCTGGAGAATACACTGCAATTATTCTCTTTTTGTAGTTTTCTAACTGAACAGTTCTCTTTTTATGCATTTCTTTCATTTCTCAATGAAAGGGATCAACAGAACAGCAGTGGTGAAAACAACAAGCAGCAATTTTACAGAACTTTTGATTACAGAGAATATTTCCTGAGAACAGTCAATAGGCAAATGGTCAACATATTTCCCTGGGATAAAAGAAACCACATTGAAGTCCTTGATGTGTTTGGTTCAAATCAGACACAAACCCATGTCTCACGTTTCACCAGCATACTTGGTACCTTGGGAAATAAGCAGAATGTTGAAATACATGAGTTTTCTGAAAACTCTGGTTTTGAGGAGCCAATATTTTTCTGGGGAAGAAGCATTTCACCTGAAAGTGACAAGATTTTTTTTGGATATTTGCTTCTTAGGGAAAGTGACTCATTAGCAAATCACAGTAGAGCATCCACAAAGAGTACTTAAATTAGCACCAAGAAGATATCAGCATTTCAGGAAGTCCTATTTTCATGCAGACCCAGTTTGGGCAAAATATCAAATCTTCTTGGTAACAAACACAAAAAGGAAACTATAGTAAACACTGGTGATCAATACTTTTCATAAAGTTAAACCTTTCCTTAAAAGTTAAACAGTGTATGGTATTTGCACCAGAAATTTAGGTAAGTACTGTAAACATCATTAAGATATGAATAAAAGCATGCAGAAATATTTTAAGAATGCTTTCTCTAATGCAGTTTGAATTAAATTCATAAACATTAATGCCTTCAATGATCACAACAGAGTGATTAAAGTAAATCTCAGTGTGGCCTGGGATCTCTTAGCCTTCTAATTACAAAATGTATTTGCTTTCCCAGGAGATCGTATGCAATACTTCTATTCCAAAATAAATATTATCAGGCATTCATAGTCCCTTAATTCAGCTGCGTAAATAACTGTAACCTTGTCTTCATGGTACACAGATCTTTCACCGAAACCAGTCCAAAGCAATGAAAAGAAGACAGACGCTTCATTACATACACATTTTTTTCCCATAGCATAAGAGTAAACATACAAAAAACTTAAAAACCCTACTGGAGGGCACTCAGGTACTGTTGTTAAAGGCGGTAGGGGAATCTGCACCGAAGAGCTGCAACACGAGGTCCTCCAGAATTATTAAACTATGTTCCCTCTGCTTCTTACATTCAACTTGGAGAGGAAAGAAGCAGTTGCAATGTTTCACATTTTTGAAGTTATTTACTGTATTGTCTGTACGTAAGAGCCCTACTCAGCAACTGGGCTGCACAACACTGAGCAGTGGGCAAAGACTTCAGATGTAATGTCAAACCCCAAGACCTGGAGCCTGGTTTACACTTAGATCCTATAATTTCATTACCCTTCCTGAAGAGTCTTCACTGCAAAGGAACATCAGGCTTTTTTTTCCAGTCTGGGATTAAATCTAAGCATGGCCTAACAGTTAAAAGCAGCGAGCACTTCAGCAGGTATCTCCTTTGACAGCAAAGATGCTGGTGATTCCCCTGGGAGGCTACTCCCCCATGTTCAAAACTCAGCAGGTGCTCTGCGATGTACCGGCGGGTGGCAGGTACCGCTGCACCAATGGAGGCACCGAAACTGCTGGATGATACTCGGCTTTCAACTCCTGGAAATGTCTTAGAGAAATCATACAAAGGAAACAACGGATGAGGACCATGAGATGCTCTCCAGAAAAATATGTGATAAAATAAAAGCACGGTTGCATGAGCAATCTATGTGTCTGAGCTTATTCTGACTGCAGGTGGGCAAATATGCTTTTCTTAAGCATCTATTTACTGGATGCTATCAGAAACAGGAGACAGCGCTAGACTGAGCTTTTGGTCAGACCAATATGGCAGCTCTTACATTCTCACAAAGCTCTGAACAGCCAATATACTCTATCACTAGTATTAATAATCAGAAACCATAATACCGGGCTCTACAGAAATACTTGAGTGATACAAATACTGCTATTATGCAGGGATACGCCTTAATTAGTGGCACCATAGTAAAACCATTATGCTACTGCTATTTCAGTTATTTCTGCAGTAACTTATCCACTTTGTAGCAGTGGCAACCTACAATGACGGATGAGGAAGAAAGACCTGAAATTAAATTGAAAGAAAAAATAAATAAGCTACAAAAGTAAAAGTATTTGTACTTGTCCAGTACTATATTGTCTTCATTTCTTCTCCCTTGCCACATTTCCACTGCCATGAGGAGGTAATTTACAATGTCAAGTAAATCCCTGTCTGTCTGTGCTGAATTACTGCATTCATATTTCTACTTGTTTGTAGCAAACTAAAGTCATAATAAGCCCAGCTATGCAGATGAGTCATACAGGCCATCTTTCATTAACAAGGCATCTTTAAATACCACTCTTAGTTAAGTTGTACTCATTACCATCAGCAAGCAATGTTTGTGCCGTACTATTCTAATTGCCAGAAATTTGCGCAAGTAAATCATTAAAAGGTTAAGTTATTTTTCATGCTAAATATAATGTACAGTATTAATCTGCTTTATTTTGTTATTATGAGTAATGCGATGTCCTATAGTCGTATCAATTTATAATTATGCCAGATCGCATGGTAGGGGGGAAACAAGAACAACAAACAACAGACGGATGTAATTTCTGCTTAAATTCTCCATGTAAATTACAAATTCTTGTTAAGTTAGACTGGGCTTTCTTCGCAGAGCACAACATCCAGATGGAATCACATCAGCAGAGCAAAAATTGAGACACAACTTTGTCTCAATTTTTTTAAAAGCAAAGTAACCAAACATCTTTCAAACACCACCCAGCCTGCTTTGTATTTCCCTCTTTGATCCTTAAGCCTGCTTTTTGATATTACTTCTGAATAGAAATCCTAGAGACAACAGTGAAATGCAGACATTTTGGCAAAAGATGAGACATGCATGAGACAATTTCATGCGTTGCTGAAAACACCACCATAGGATGGAGCTTATTTTCCAACACAGAAATGTACAGAGGTGATGATACATTTCTCCTGACCGGTGTGCGCTAGGCACAGAGCATCCCTCCAGCTCCTCCAAAATGCGCTTCTGTACGTGAGAGGCGTCTCTTTCCTGTGCTATGTATTCCAGAACATTTCATTCTAGTTTAATGCTGCTGAACACCCGAGTAAATCCAGCGTCCTTAATACATACTAAATTGCAACCTGTCACCCCCCTGAAGCTGAGAAAGCAAGCTCTTAGGTATCTCTTTCAAATGACAGAGCTGAGTGATCCCTATAATTTTCCACATTATATAAGGAGGAACTACATTATATATGAGTAGTTAAATACACTTCTCAGTAAATGTTAAACAAGTTAGTGGGAAATAATTGACTGTTCATCAATTAGCCAGAAAAGCATAACCACAGTAATGCTATCTCTGACAACTCTATTGCAGATGCAAATTGATTTAGTTTTCTTCATGACAATGAATTTGATTCAAAGTGAAATTTCCATTTATTTGTTCTGATAAGTTGTTACCCATTAAAAGCATACTCTTAGAAATTGATTGTAAGTCTGCTTTCACACTCTTGTACCGCAGGTGACTTCCTAAACATATTTGCATTCATCTTATCTCTACCATGGAAATATTAACCATTGCTGAGAGCAGTAATACTAAATTAGGGAAATGCATAAAAGATAACTAGTTTAGCTTAGTTATACAGGTACAGCATAGTCTTTCTGTGAAAAAAAACCTCACACGTATCCCAAAGACTTATGTCCGAAATATTTTTATGCAACTGCCCTTTATGTCATGATGTACTTTGAAAAGGCAGTTCTGGACAAGGAGATACAGATGTGAAAATACACATTATTTTTATCTTGATAACCAGTCATAGAGTTTGTGTGTTCCTTGCACCATCAGAAATCAACCATTTAAAATGTTCTAGATCCCATAAAACTAATAATTGGCAAAGGGTATTTTAGATTACATACTACTAAGATAAGATAGCAAAGATTTTTCTTTGTATTATTTTATGTTTTACATTGTAAAATATTATGGGAAAATGCGATGAAGCAGAAATATGTAAGGCAAACAAAGTTTATTTATATTGCCAACATATGTGGACCATTCATCATTCATTCTCAGAAAGTTAGTTATGTTTGAAAGCTATGGCAGATATCATAATGAAATATCTGTCTCAGAACAGTTTTGTGACAAAATACCTTAGGTCAAGCGGAACACGTATATGTGTGGTCGCATCACTTTCTGTTAAATGTAACATGAAGTTTACATTTATGACTAAAACCAGAAAATATCATTTCAGGCAGAACTGGAATCACTATTTTTGGCTAGATATTAAGCTGAACATTTTGACAAAAATAATACGCAAGTCGCAAGACCAGGAAGAAAAGTGCTGTCAAGCAAATCATCTGAAGACATCATTTACCTTGTGCAACTGATAGTATTGCTCAGCACCTATTCCTCCTTGCTCTTCTGCCGTCCACAGCACCAAGCGCAGAGTTCTTTTTGGGCGAAGTCCTAAAACACAATTTAAAATATGGTATTTAGTACTAAATATCCATATATTTGGGCATTTTTTTGCATTGGTCTCCACCCTCCAATGGATGAAAAGCCTGGTTTTCCATTCAGTCATCTCCACGTTCGCCAAACGCAACCCGTTTCAAGTGTGGGTTTTGTTGTCAAGAATATTTTTTGCTTGTTTGTGGGGAAGGACTGGGGTGTGGGGAGAGAGCCCACGCGAGGAAGGAGTGGGCTGCTATGGTGCATGAGAAGGACCTTTTTGAGGGACATACTGTAGGTGTCTGCAAACCTAAAATAACTACCTTGATAGATTGCTGAGACATATGCTGCTTTCATTGTGGTGGTCTGTGGTAAGTAATGCGCGTCTGCTTTCAGCAGATCCGAATCAAATTTTTGTGAGAATTACCACTGCTTTGTCATGGTTAATTTATTACAATTAATTGAAAAGGAGCTGCTGGATTTTTATGAGAAATGTTTACTCATTTCAAGAACTGAGGGGCTCTGCAATATTATTTTGCTTTTTATCAGAGAAATGAAAAGCAGCAATCTGTACTTTGGAATCTGAAATACAACCGGCTGCTGAATGTATGCATGGCTTTTTAAAACAAGGCAAACACAAGGCCGTTTTTTTATTTTGCTATGGTAGCTCAGTAAGAAAGATAAGTTCTCAGATAAATTTTGAAACCGTCTCTGTCGTGGCAGAACTGAACAGATAGAAGTTGTTGCCCTTTATTTATTTGATTGATTCTATTCATAAACTAATGCATTTGAAACATCAAACCTGAGAACACAGAAGAGCGAACAGACCAAGAATAGTGTTCTCTGTGCCGTGTATTGCTAATTATGTTCGAGCAAAACTAAAGCCCCCAAAACTATTGAAAAAAAGAAAGAAGAGGAAAAACAGTGAGGAGACTATCACAAGCGATAAAGCATAAATTACCACACACTCTTCTGTGCTGAGGAGAAATAATATCAGTATCACTGTCAAAACTTATTTCATTTCCTAGCTGAAATGGATGTTTACAAATAGACTTGACCTTCATTATTTTTTTTCTCTCGACACAATGAAAAATCAGCTGAAGATTTCTTTCTCGAAACTACATGCTAGCAATCCTCGTAACTTAAGGCAGAGTATACAAGGAACACAGAAAATCTGAAGAAAACACCTTGGATTTTCCAATATTTCATAATGAAGGAGGTGCAAACAAGTGGTTTAAAGGTGTATTTTCTAAATGTTGATCTGCTGACTGTAAACAGAAAGGCCATCAAACCTCATTATTTTAAAGACACCACCCCACCCTCAGCCCCCCGCACACATCCCAATGGATTCCCTGCTCTTCTCCTAAATCTTGACAGTATGGGATTAGCCTCCTCTGCTTTTCAAACCAGGCAGATGGCCAATGAGGTAAAATTAAGATAATAAAATAGCTATCAGGCTGAAGTTAGAAAGATTTTAGACCCAAAATAACCACTAATGTGTCAGTGGCTTGGTTAGAAGAGGTGGCTCTAAAGAAGAGATGGTGCAGGGTGTAACGCATAGAGCCGGTACTGTAGCACGGTTCCAATGGCACTGCGGTTTAAGTGGAAAACAGGGGCGTGTTTGTCGTATCACAAAATACAAAGCACTGAAGTCCAGTCTCCAGCCCACCAAGCCAAGGCTGTGAAAGCAGCTTTGGTAGGAGATGCTTGAGACGGGGGAGCAGCATTTCCTGCCTCCTCCCAGGGGAAAATCAAGATGCTTTAGTCTGCCACTGCTGCCCTAAGGGGGACTCGGGTCAGTGATCAGGGTCATCACGTTCAGCTCCAATGGGTTGTAACCCCAGCTGATGTCTCTGGCTCTGCAGGAGCTTGAGAAGGTCTCAGCTCACTTGTGGGGAAGAATTTTGAGATTCTTATGGCCCCCTCCCAGCCCACCATTGCATCTGTCCATTAAAGCTGGGGAAAGAAAAAAGCCCTGTCAAGCTTTGGTCTTTCCAGTCCCAGAGGTGGTGTATCGGCTGTTCCAATCTCCCAGATTTCTGTCATCAGAGTCACTTGTGTGTTCTACTGAAATTAAATGGGTAAGTTAAAAAAAAAAAATATATATATATATATAAGCTATGGAGGCAGTCATTTTAAATACAAAACAAAGTCTACGGAGGAAAATTTAATTTCCTCATTATCTTAATCTGAAAGTGATAAGTATTTATCTACCTGTTATTAAAAAGCACAGCTATTCTGACCAAAGAACATGAAACAAATCCAATATTCACAAGTAAAATTGCTAAGAATATTCTCAATGCATGTTTTTATTAAAAAATATGAAGTTAAGTTACAATTTTTTCAACTATTTTGGCTTGCTTCTTAAAATCTACTTGCTCCTAAGCAAGGTATCATCTCCACATAATCAGAAATCTTGCAGATCAAATATGTACTGAAAAGCATGATAAAGTAGCACTTGGACTAGAAAACTATGTTCTGTGATGGGTGCACCGTGTAGAGGGGTAGGTAGCAAATTTTAAAATGAAGGAAAACTTTCACAAATAAAATAGTGCCTATTTCCTCTTTATCTATATAAATGACATACTACACAGTCTAAAAAAAAGTGAACATCAGAAGAAAAACAAACTGTAAAGGTACCCAGACCATTTAAATAGATCATTTTGGCAAATGCAGCAGGTTATAATGGCATTCATTGACGGATCAGTGCAGAGATCCTACCGTGTCCTCCCTGGTCACCGGGATCTGAGATTATGTACTCAAAGAAAAGTTGCAGAGCTCAGCCCCTACTCAAAACCACCAAAATCCCCATTTCCATCCTATTGCTGCATCCCAATAAAGAGAATAGCAGGGGTTTACAGGAGGATAACATTAAAAAGGTGATAGCTGGTACTCAAATAAATTGTTCTTTCTAAGCTCACACAACTAAAACCAAAACCAAAACAACTACGGAGCCTCCTCCAGCTACAGATTACTTTGCAAATCTCCAACGCTTTAGAAAAATGAAGTAGCTATTTTTTTCCCTCTAGCTTACCCTTAACCGGGAAACATAGTCATAGTTTACCACAAAGGTGCATTTTACTGATCAACCTCTACATTCTTACGCTTTATCCCAAGCATAACAAATACTGTAGGGAACCTGGGCTTCTCAGTTAAAGGATGAAGTAAAAACATCAATAGGGTTGATCTATGACTAAGAAAATGTGTGTTACACCAGGACTCTTGCTGTATTGTACTGCCTCTGTGCTGGAGTGGCGGCTAGCCCTTTCATTGTCCTTGGGTACCACAAACACTTCAGCTGTACTAAGATGCAGCTCTCACTGACTCTTATTTTCTGTTTCTTTTAAATCATCATAGAGTGCTCACGCTTGCAGATGTCAGCAGCAAGCCTAGGTTAGCCAAAATACCAAATGCTTGAGAAAAAAATTATTTGTAACTAAGCTTTATTAACTAAGTTTCACTTCAACCTCAACTACAATGAAGTATTTTGCCAAAAGCTTTTCTTTCATGACTTGTGTAAAAGATAATTGTCAACAAATAACATGGAGGTGTTACACACACACATATATATATACATATTTCACATTAATTTTAAATCTAAAATGGATATTTTCTAGATGTGATATTGTTTATTAAATCCACACGTATTCTTACAGATGCGGATGATCTCCCTGTGATAAGCTACTTACCAGGATGCCATACAAGACCTGAATTTTATGTGCTGCATATCTTGCTCATGCTTGAGAGAATTGAGACATTCCCACATGGTGAAACTGAAATGTATGGTTTAGTACAAGCACAGACAAATTATGCTCATCTGTCACACGTAATGTGAAAAAATAAACCTGCTTCACCCTCAAGATAGCATATAAGCCAGGAGGGAGATCTTGGATTGTCTTTTTTTTTTCCAAATCAAAACAGAGATCAGTAGTGTAAATACTAAATTTCCTTTGGTAAATATTTTCCCACTTTATAAACATAAATCCTTACTGATGAGGAGGATTAAGTACAAAGATAAAGTATTTTCTAAGAAGACAGCATAGGATGGCTAATCAGACCTCTTCAAGAGAAGTCATAATGTTGTTGTAAGACTGATCAGCTCTTGAAAATATAAAAAGCATTCCACCTCTGTGAAAAAGGATTTTTTCCCCTGCAAGCCAAGGCACTGGGATAACCCACAAGCAAATCAAATAGCTGCTCAGCTTACGTGAGGCACATAAGCAAACTGCAAATGGATGTAAGTAGATTAACAGGTAAAGTATTTTAACTTGCATTTATAGTGTATTCTGTGGTAAAACACTATCTTCTTGGGTTTAAGTTCTAAAGTCTATTTCTATTTCTTCAGCCTGAAAGATGCATTTATTTTTCATCCCTCCTGATTTTTAAGAACGTTTGTAAGAAGTTGCATTAGCCGAAGAGAGAAGCTCCTTAGCAGTGCAAAGGTAGGGCTGAAGCTCATCTGTATCCAATAAAAAGGCAAATTACTGTAGCCACTCACCATGTGCTCTGTGAAGACCATGAGGTTTCTTAGAGCTTTGCCAACTTTACCCTCCCAAGACTCTGCATAAATGCTCAGCAAAGCCCTGAACTGAACATCAAAGCAGAAGAAATTGGACTCCCAGATCCTTACTCTCTAATGCTGTGTAAGCCACTGATGTATTTGCTGCAGGAGATACTTGATAGAGGTGTAAACAGATATATATCATCCTTAAGTCTTGTCCACTGCTGCATTTAACATCGCAAGCTACACATTTTTCTACATTATTACCCCATGCCCTGGAATTTCTTTAAAAGGCTATTTATACAAAAAGTAGTAAATACACGATGGTGCTGTTGACGATCATTAAATTCCTAATGCACTCCCTACCTTTTTCAGGTTTGCAGGTGATTAGACATAGGGGATTTACTGTGTGACACTAGTTGGGATATTTCTATCATGCAAGTACTTCTCATAAAATGCCTGGAATTTCTAAAAGCTCTGCCACAGCATAAAGTAAAAATAAAATCGGTATTCCACA